CCTTTGCCAGTCTTGGGTGCTACCCAATGGAGCTCGTCAAAAGGGCACCCAATTTAACGATGCTCTCCATACTTTGTTTTGGTAAGGATTATTTTCTGTGCCAACTTCTAAGAATTTTCTGTTTTCACTAGCATGAGTCTTCGCCCAAAAGGTAACTTATAAATTTATACATCCCTGGGGAAATATTGAATGAAAGCATGACTTTTAACTACATGTTGCCAGTTACAAATGTAAATGGGATTAGGATTAGGAAGAAAACTCTCTTATTTGAACACTGACATGTGTCAAACCAAATCTAGCATGGAGAAAATCTATAAAATAGCTTGTCTAATAAAATACAATGTGGACTTTTTGTGTGCCTTGTTTCACACAGTATATACATGGAGCACACAGATAATATATTGAAAGTTATAGAAGACATTTCCACCATTGGGATTCCAGAGCTGATGGAGTCTAAAGATGGATACTCTTCCACTTACCCTACATTGACCAGGTAATGGCATCTCTTAGTACAGTTAATTAGGATTCAGTGCATACTTCGATGTTCACACCTCCCCCTCAGTTGCATTCTTTTCTGAACAAAACACAGGTTGTTTTCCCAAATTAAGTTTATATATAAATATAAACTTATAAATATATAATGCATACGAATTAATAAGTAGCTAACATTAAATTGTAGGGTGCATTGTCTTTATCTCTTAGAATATGCTGAACAGGTCACAGGGAAGAGCTGTTGCATGTGAAATGTTAAGATATTTGTAGAAGGACAGGGAACTTTTCGAGACACTGAAGCCCTGACCACCAAGGACACCTTTGCTATTTGTGTTTCCTACATTTAGCACTTTCTCAGCAGTCATCAGAGCTAAAATAAATGAACAAAAGCAGGAATGCTTTAGGTAGACACACTTTCTGCTAGCAAATTTGGAAGGGAATACAGTACCTGCAGTATGGCTCTATTCTCATAAACATTCCCATAACATTGAGCCCATATCATAATTAAATATTTAGCCAACTAACAGCTTTAATCACTCCTTACCACAGTAGGTGGCACCTAAAATGCCAGCATGGTTATGATGTCATTCTCCATTATCTTCCTAGCTCCGCATGTACTTTTTGCCAAAAACTTCTGATGATAATAATAGGCTGCGGTAGAGTGACATTTGATGCTATGTGTCAGACTGTGTTCAGAAGGAGGGATGGACATCCCATGCAGAATGCCTTCTGCACTTGGCACTTGAGGTCGCCTGCAAATATGCCATAAGAGTCCTTGCAACAGCAAAGATGACCATCAGCCTATATCTTAGCTAGGGATATAAGTCTATGAAGTCTGCAAGACTGATCTCATCTGTAGGACTGAGCAGATAAAAATGAGAATCCTGGAAAATTCCATCTGCTCCAGATGAGATTTTCCAGCCATTGCATTTAATAGAATTACGTCAGTACAGCCACACAGTGGTCAGGAAAGCTCACATGACTTTTACTCCTGTTGACATCAGCTTTGCAACCATAATATCACACAGCTTCATTGTTACTTTAAGATTACTTTTGTATATTTTACAGTCACCACCTTGAGAGTTTCCATTACTGAACAGTTGATAAGAAATAAATATTTGAGGGAGGGAGGTAGTACATATATGTCCCATATAACATGTAAATGCTTCAAAGAAAAATAAAGCTGCAGAACAAAGCAAATTTAGCTTTCCTTCCCACTCCACTTGTTTTCTTCAGGCAAACCTTTCCCATTTTCTTCCGGGTGATGATGACTCAGCTAGAGAATTCAGTGAGAAGCATTCCTACTGGAACATCCTCGGATTCCAGTGAGGTAGGGTGACAGAACATGCCTGAAGCTTTCAGCAGCAACCTGCACGCCGAGGATAAAGCATAAAAATGTTATATGTAGCTCAGGAACAGTACATACTGTACCTCCGTATTATATGCTTCAGTCCTGAAACTTAGAGCTGAACAAGTTTTTAAAGAAGAAGTTTTTAAAGAACAAGTCTGAAAACTGCCTAAGTTTTGACTGGCACACACACGCATAAAGATTCTGATTTTTAAACATAGTGGCCAGGATCTTTTTTAGCTCAGTAAACGAAATAGATTTTTGAGGCAAATTGCCCCAATTTAAGAAATCATGGTAGACACTATCAGTTGCACTAGTGTAATTTTTTTAACTTAGTGGGATTCACTTCTAAAAGTTATGTAATTTTTGTCACATCAACATAGCTAGTCAAGAGGATTTGAACCAATTTTGAAAGTAGCTTCCATTTTTAAGCAGCCACACTTTAGCATTATATTTAAAGTCAGACATTCTACAGTTAGTCTTACCTCTTGTTACTGAAACAAGCCAACATAAAACTTTTGCTCATGGTGGTATTGAAAGTATAGTTGCATTAAACCATAGATAAGACGAATTACACATCAGTGTTAAGGTATAATGTCAGATGGTGGTTTCTGCAAAAATAAGTTTCAAAATTACCGTAATTATATTCAACACATTTTATTCAAAAACCTGGTGGAATCTAACTTTTTATCATGCTCTGAGTAAACCCAATGATTTCCTAGGATAATGGGCTCAAAGTGACACTTGGAAATTCTGTGAGTGGAGCTGATAGCAGCTCTTAAATTTGGAACATTCTATTTCAATTCAATAGATACATTAACCAACAAAACTTGTGTTGTTATACCTGTGCCTTTTATACACGTGGTGGGCATGCTAGCTGTTACTGCAAAATTGATTCTGTCTCTGGCAACAGAAATATCTTAATACAGTTTTTCTAATAATTCTGAACTCATAGGTTCAGCTGGAGAAGCTGCTACAGTGGAACATGGCTGTGCGGGATTTCCACATTCTTGTTAACTTAGTAAAGGTGAGAAGCCATCACATTAACCCTTTGGGAAATCATGGCATATTTATTGTCAGCAATCATTTCTCCACAGTGGGTGCTTTGGAGACTTAATTCAGTTGGTGTTTGATACCTTGAAAGCCTAATACAATGCACACCTTTATTGTATTTATGTGTTCTGGAGGCACCATGTTTCTGTTACATAGGATGGCATCTTACTTTACTGGGACAAGAAGAATCTTATAATCTGATCTGCATCATTTTACACTATTTTAGATGCTTCCTATTATGTGTCCTTTCTCTAAAGCCAACAGCACTTACCCTTTCATTTTTTTTTGAGAATAAATACAAGAAAAATGGCTCCTCACCATGAAGTGTCATTTCAAGCAATACATGACCTTGAATGTGCTTGACAGGAAACCTCAAAAGCTTGTCTAAACAGGTCCCTCCCATTCATAGGTGCAGACAAGTACGTGACAGTGTTTGGGGAATAAAGGAAGCTTGGGTGGATTTTACCTATGGTGATATACTAGAATAGGATGAGTCTGCTTATCTTAATTACTGTTGGCTGAAATCCAGTAGTGAGTTACAACTAAAATTTACATTACAACACCCATTGAATCAATGGAACTTAGATTTGGTATTAGCTTGCCAAATCTCTAATGATTCATTGGACTTCTCTTGTTGTGACTTACTACTGGATTTCAGCCACAGTTCCTTCAAGCCCCACATCCCTCTTCTCTGCTTAGATTAGATCTTTTTGTTGGCCCTGGAGCTGATATCAGAAATAGGTCTGGAACATTTTATTTAATTCAATAGGTGCATCAACCAACAAAGTCTCTGCTGTTGTGCCTGTGCCTTTTATACAGTATTGCGATATATGTGGGTGCCTGCTCTTAACACACCAGTTATGGTTGAAGTAAAACATGGCTATGGGACGTGGTGGCGCTGCAGGCTAAACCGCAGAAGTCTGTGCTGCAGGGTCAGAAGACCAAGCAGTCGTAAGATCGAATCCACGCGACGGAGTGAGCTCCCGTCGCTTGTCCCAGCTCCCGCCAACCTAGCGGTTCGAAAGCATGTAAATGCAAGTAGATAAATAGGTACCACCTCGGTGGGAAGGTAACGGCGTTCCGTGTCTAAGTCGCACTGGCCATGTGACCACGGAAGATTGTCTTCGGACAAAAACGCTGGCTCTATGGCTTGGAAACGGGGATGAGCACCGCCCCCTAGAGTCGAACACGACTGGACAAAAATTGTCAAGGGGAACCTTTACCTTTACCTAAAACATGGCTGGCCTACTGGGAAGCTGGACTACAAGGGGAGAGAAAAGGGGCTTTATGCTGCCTGTGATGCTGACTGTGTACAACAAAGGAAGGTAATGGAGGAAGGAAAAAGGATAAACACGTCTTCAACTCTAGATATTTAGTATCATTGATGAAATAACTGTTAAGAGCATATGGAGATGTATCATATTTTTCTGTGTATAAAACAACACTTTTTACTTAAATAAATAGACAAAAAAATGAGGGTCATTATATACACGGAAGGCAGCCGTTTTCTCTGCCTTGCAAAGCCACAGGGTAATGCAGCCGTGAAAGGGCTTTAGGACCAAAGGGGTGCGAGCATGCAAATTTTCTAATTTGGGGGTTAGGAAAGGGGGGTAGTCTTATACATTGGGTTGTCTTATAAAAAGAAAAATATGGTACTTCAATAGTAACAAAGTTCTCAGGATATGAATTATCTATCTTGTTACAGCCTTTAAACTGGGCCTTTTGCTCTTTCCAAACAGGTCTTTGATAGCAGACCAGTACTCAGTGTCTGTCTGAAGGTGAGTTGAGGAATCACGTTTTGCAAAACAAGAAGTGTTGAAACTTCTTAGACTGAAAGATTTCCATTGTTGTTTTTCACTGCTGTTACAATGGCAGCCTCTTTACATCTACCAGCTGCTCTGTGTGCATGATTCTTGTCCGTATCTATGTTGTTTCTGGGATATTCTGTGGTATCCTTTCACTGCAGTGTATTTCTCTAGGACACAACTGAAAATCACAGTGATAGCTGCTGTCCAGCTTTGGGAGGAAAACTGTGTAGCCCTGACCCACGTGCTTTTTGCTGTTGCTGACCTTGCATTACTGTACCATGCTCCATTTCTGCAGGCTTTTAATTTATGTATGTCAGAAATATGTAGAGCTAAATGGCAGGTGTTAAGAGTGAGTAGAAATAAGCCGACATTTGGGCTTTGCATGTGCTCATGTTTGTGCTGATGGTTTTAACGTCATTGTCTTGACAAAACACTACAAATACAATGTGCAGAGATATAGATAATAGGTACCTACCTGAAAAAGCTAGAGGCAATTCACATTTTCCCTTCCACTCTGGCTTCAGATGGACTCTGCACCTTGTTCTCGGGAGCTATAATGGAAAGATAGTGAACACAGAAGGGTATATGAAAGTGAACACCATATTAATGACTGAAATTATAGTCACATGGTTTACCTTGCTTATCTGTCTCCCTTCTGCTTAAATAATACAACTACTGTAGAGAAATTCTGGTGAACAAAGATCTTTGGCTAAATATTCGCACTAGACTAGATGCTGAATTTAACTATTATTCCCTCTCCCCAAGGAAATGTAGAGCATGTATATCCATGAGTGAGGCTAATTAAGTTAATCAGAATTCTTAGTCCCCTCATGAAGCTAGTCTTCAGTATTCCCTGGAGGGAATCATGACTGTTAAAATAATGTGATCTGGTGTGTTTTACATTTCCCCTAAATTCTTATGTCTAGTCAGGTTAGGAAGGATTGCTCAGAATAAGCCTAGGTAAATGGAAAATCAACAGATGTGAATTCTTGTATGAGATGTATTTATTTGATCATATAAAATCTGCTCTTTGATTTGTGCCTCAGGACCTGCATGAACAGCCTTTTTAAATTTCTTTTTTAAAGAAATGTCCACTCTTTCCCACTTTCTTTCTTCTCTCCCACCAGTATGGTCGTCTCTTTGTGGAAACATTCTTGAAGCATGGCATGCCCCTCCTGGACTGCAGCTTTAAAAAGCACAGGGTAAGACTTTAGGGAGGTGGCTGTTGGTAGATGTGGAAACAAGAATTGTATGGCACACAATGAGAGCAGAAATGTGGAAGAAAATGTTTTGTATAATTAAATAGACCAAGAACTGAATGCTGTGAGCCAGGAAATGATTTTGTGCTATTAATCTTTTTTGGCAAACCTGCCAAAATGGGGGCATGGGCATTCACGATTGTCAAAAGTCAGCTATGACAATTGCTTTGTCTTTGGGTAAGAAGTGGTTAAAAAATGAAAAAAGGGAGTCAGCTTTTGAGATCTTCCTTGGTTAGTTTCACTTGGTGAATGGTAGGTAGTGAGCACAAGAGGGTATCCTGTAGACCAGTGGTCCCCAACCTTTTTAGCCCTGCGGACTGGCTGGGAAAGGTGGGGTACCCCCCTGCACTTGTGCGCATGCATGAAGGCGCATGTGTGCACATGTGTGAAGGGCAGCACAGCGCTCATGTGGGCACGCTCGTGCGCATGCACAAAGGGTGGTGCAGTGCTTGTGCAGGGGCTTGCACACTTGCACGCAGGCACAAACAGGCTGTGCGGGGGGTGAGTGTGTACAGGGGTGGGGTAGGAGGTCTCTCTCCGCAGCCCGGTCTGGCTCAGGCCACGGACCAGGGCCGGGCCACGGACTGGGGGTTGGGGACTTCTGCTCTAAAGCACAACTGATCCTTGTTTACAGAAGAGGAGAACATACGACTTTCATGTTTCTTATTTGTTCCCTCTTTCATTTAGGCTTTCAGTGTCTTTCCCCCCCCTCTGCCAAATTACAAGAGAAAGTTTTCACCTAATCGTGTCACAAGATCTTTCAGCAGCCAATAAAAAATTCTGAGGGGAACAGGAATTGTAAATCTGTAAAAGGGCATGGAACCCAGCGAGGATTGCTCTTTCTACTTCAGTTGATTTTTATGGGATCATTGTGTACTGAGCTACTAGTGCCCTCCATCTTGGAATGCTGCGTAACTCCATCTTGGATCCTGTCCTTTTTTGCTTTCCCCCCTCAATTTTGGAAAGTACCACAGCAGTTCAGACGCCCTGTATGTGACACTTTGAAACAAAAGTTCTGTGATTGGGCTCCTTTACATTTGCAGGAAGATGTGCAGAGTTTGTTGAAAACCTTGCAGCTGAGCACCAGGCAACTTCACCACATGTGTGGCCATTCCAAGGTACAGGAGACTGCAAGGGGGATGGTGGCTTCTAAATTAGCAAATTCTGCCTGATTTGCATTAATTTTTCAGTCTCTCTTCTATTCTTCCTGTTTCCAAGATCAGTGGTGAGTATATTGCATATTTCTTCTTTGCATAGATTCATCAAGACACGGGACTCACCAGCCACGTACCTCTACTAAAGAAGTCCCTCGAGCTGTTTGTATACCGAGTGAAAGCAATGTTGGCTCTCAATCATTGTCAGGAGGCCTTCTGGGTGGGCGTCCTCAAAAATAGGGATCTACAGGTGAGTGTTTGTATGTTAAAGGCACCTGACCCAGTTTGATACAGTTTCAGTGGACATGATTATTTGAGGGACTTGAGAACTAACAATTCCATTCCATGTGCATTGACGGAATTAAGTGTTCCTGATTCAGTGGAACTTTATCTCCAAGTGAAGAACATTTGAATGTGGATAAAATAGTAAATTTCATTAGGTGCTATTTTTAAAAGCCAAGTGAACATCATGAGCGAGCTCTGCACAGTGAAGAGATAGCTCAGATAAAATTGTTTGCAGCAGGTCAATGGGACACCTGTGATAAAACAGAATTGTAGCATTGCACCTCTTTAAGGTGCCAAGAATGCCAGATTTTTAAAATTATGTTTCTGACTTGCTAGTAGAGCAGAAGATGCAGTTGCTACTAGTGAAATAAGTAACAGAAGTGTTTCCATGGCAATGATGTTCAAGTGCATGTGTACTCTAGGAAATTCTTTTTCAATACTGGCTTTCAAAAGGCAGTTTTATCTTCTGTGCTCCCTTCAGTGGGCTTGTATCAAGGTACCTTGTGACTAATTCTCCATTAGTTCCCAGAATCCTATTAGCAATCATGGAGCATAACTGTTCTGCTGGCAGAGCACATCACAACTATTCCAGTGATCTTAAGCTTAGAGTTATGGAAGCTTGAGTGTGTCCCATTAAAAACAACAGGGCTCTGTGTGAATATTGTCTTGTGCAATTGAATTTTTTAAAAAAGCACGCATGGTACAAGCTGCTGCACAGGTGGAAAAACCAAACAGGATTTGGGCCAAGATTTCGGATTTTTTTTTTTAGAATTACACACCTTTGTTTATTAAAATATTTGCATTACAGCTTTCCAATAGTCTGTTCATTTAAGCAAATCAGTAATAAAAAGTAACAGCTGAAAAAAAGAAGCAGACAGAGCAATGATCACGTTAGGAGAGCCAAAATTAACAGCTAGGTGGACTCAAAGCCCATTTGAAGAGAAATATCTCCACAGAGCAAGACCATCACAGATGCATTAGTGAATTAAGCTAAGTAGGCAATTCCATGGATACCTGGAGTGTAGGTTCTCAAAGAAAAGTCCCTCTTCAATAGCCCGATAAAGCATGTATCAGATGTGCAGTGAAAGTGTATACCACAAAGAAAGAAGGGCTCAACTAAGTCCAAGAGGGTGCCACCATGATTAATGAGTGAGTTAGAGAGGCTTTGAAGGACAAGGAAGGGTCCTTCCATAAATGGAAATCCTCCCCAAAGGAGGAAAACAAAAATTCTGGCAAAGAGAAATGCAAGAAGACAAATTCTGGCAAAGAGAAATGCAAGAAGACAAAGAAGGTAAAGAAAGACTGAGGAACGCATGGCCAGCGATATAAAGGGGAATAATAAAAGCTTCTTTAACAACATTAGAAGCAGGAAACCTGCCAGAGAAGCAGCTGTCCCTCTGGATGGTAAGTGAGGGAATGGGGGACATGGAGATTTCAGAGAAATGAGTTATTTACATCTGTCTTCATGACAGAAAACCTTGGGGAGATTTCACTACCCGAACAGCCCCTCCTGACTAAAGAATCAAATTATGAGGGAATGGGGGATGTGGAGATTTCAGAGAAATGAGTTATTTGCATCTGTCTTCATGACAGAAAACCTTGGGCAGATTTCACTGCCCAAACAGCCCCTCCTGACTAAAGAATCAAATTAGATACAGGTTAAAAGGGAGGATGTTTTAGACCAAATTGATAAATTGAGGATCAGTAAGTCACCGGGCCCACATGGCATCCACCCAAGAGTTATTAAGGGACTGAGGAATGAAGTGACTGATCTCTTAACTGTATATTCAACTTAGCAAGTTGAACATACAACTTGCCCCTTAAAACGGCCACGGTGCCAGAGGACTGGAGGACAGCACATGTCAGGCCAGTCTTTAAAAAGGGAAGGAGGGGGGACCCGGGAAACTGCAGGCCAGTTAGCCTAATGTCTGTTCCAGGGAAGATAGTAAAAAGCCTTATCCAAGATAAAATCTTAAAACACAAAGAAGATCAAGCCTTGCTGAGGGAAAATCAGCATGGCTTCTGTAAGGGTAGGTTTTGCCTCACAAACTTTTTAGAATTCTTTGAAAAGGTCAGCAGGCATGTGGATGCAGGCGAACCAGTAGTTATTGTCTGTCTGGATTTTCTGAAGGTGTTTGATGCAGTGCCTCACCAAAAGCTGCAGAGAAAACTCCAGAGTCAGAGGATAAGAGGGCAGGTCCTCTTGCAGATTGAGAATTGGTTGAGAAACAGGAAACATAGAGAAGTGTCAATAGGCAGTTTTCACAATGGAGAGAGGTGAAGAGCGGTGTGCCCCAGGGATCTCTCCTGGGACCGGTGCTTTTCACCCTGTTGATAAATGACCTGGATACAGGGATAAGCAGTGAGGTGGCCAAGTTTGCAGATGACACAAAACCTTTCTGGGTGGTGAAGACCAGAAGCTATTGTGAAGAGCTCCAGAAGGATCTCTCCAAACTGGGAAAATGGGTGGCAAAATGGCATATGAGTTTCAATATAAGAAAATGTAAAGTAATGCACATTGGGGCAAAAAAATCAAAACTTTAAACATACAACTTGCCCCTTAAAACGGCCACGGTGCCAGAGGACTGGAGGACAGCACATGTCAGGCCAGTCTTTAAAAAGGGAAGGAGGGGGGACCCGGGAAACTGCAGGCCAGTTAGCCTAATGTCTGTTCCAGGGAAGATAGTAAAAAGCCTTATCCAAGATAAAATCTTAAAACACAAAGAAGATCAAGCCTTGCTGAGGGAAAATCAGCATGGCTTCTGTAAGGGTAGGTTTTGCCTCACAAACTTTTTAGAATTCTTTGAAAAGGTCAGCAGGCATGTGGATGCAGGCGAACCAGTAGTTATTGTCTGTCTGGATTTTCTGAAGGTGTTTGATGCAGTGCCTCACCAAAAGCTGCAGAGAAAACTCCAGAGTCAGAGGATAAGAGGGCAGGTCCTCTTACAGACTGAGAAACAGGAAACATAGAGAAGTGTCAATAGGCAGTTTTCACAATGGAGAGAGGTGAAGAGCGGTGTGCCCCAGGGATCTCTCCTGGGACCGGTGCTTTTCACCCTGTTGATAAATGACCTGGATACAGGGATAAGCAGTGAGGTGGCCAAGTTTGCAGATGACACAAAACCTTTCTGGGTGGTGAAGACCAGAAGCTATTGTGAAGAGCTCCAGAAGGATCTCTCCAAACTGGGAAAATGGGTGGCAAAATGGCATATGAGTTTCAATATAAGAAAATGTAAAGTAATGCACATTGGGGCAAAAAAATCAAAACTTTA